ACCAGGCAGGTAGGTAGAAAAAGAGAAAACAGGACTTTGGGTAGGCCGAGGAATTTCCTGAGTCCCAATAGGCCTACGGGAAGAATCAAGAAGATACCAGCCATATACAGTCCGAAAAACTGTTTAGGTCCAGGTCCTGTAGGCAGGGTAGCAGTCCGCAGGACCTTTCCCACCAGAGAAGACAGGAACCGGTAGGGGCTTAAGACCAGGTAGGCTGGGTGGCACCAAAGGAATGAGGCACCTGACAAAGTACATCAGGAGGAGCCGTGATATGCGCCTCCTTCATTTCAGCAGCACACTGGCTGCTGGACCAAGAGCTTGGCCAAGCAGAGTCAAGCAGAAGGAGGAAGAAGAAGGATAAGAACGGGTGTAAAGGAGGGACATACCTTGGCTATGGTGGACCTGCATCTTCATAGTTGGCGCTGCACTTGGAAGGCCCCAGAGGGGGTTGAAGTGCATTGGTACTTGAACCGTGAGTGTGCGGGTGGCAGTAGTGGAGGAGGGCAGGACACGCGAGCTTCTGCGTTGTCCTTTGAACATTCGACGTCACCTTGGATGCGCCGCCATAGTCAGTAGCCATCCGCTAGGTAGAGTGAGGTGTAGAAGAGCCACGAGAGCTCCTTTGAACATGCCGGCGGCAAGGGGATACTTTGGAGTCTGGACATTGATTCTGGCTTCTACGTTCATAGTTATTGTTTCTTTTGATCAATAAGGTGATGGTGGAGTTGATGAGCGACAAGTGATGGAGGCAAGATGAGGGTCAAGTGACTTGGGTTACAGCCTGTGTCTTTCTTCTTCTTCCTCTTCTATTCTCCATTCTTCTTCCTCTCGTCTCTTACTCTCGTCCCAACTCTCACATTCGAGTTGCGGTTAAGGAGCATTGTCTCTGTGTGGATTTTTGCATTGAATTCGCTGGAGCTTAACAATACGAGGACCAAATCTTTTGCGAAGACGTGGAAGATGGACCAGCACAGCTTCACTCGAGGCAAGAAAGGAGTACGGAGAAGAGATTAATGATTAGGCAAGGGTCCAGAGAAAGGAGGGGGTATTTATAGGATGTATGGGTTCATGAAGCAGCAATAAAATTTTGCACATGTCCAAAAGATTTGCACTATTGTGTACTGCCTACTGAGAATATACATTTGAAAGCTCCTGACAGAGAAATGAAAATTGTGGAAGGGTGACCATCACAGTACATGAACAATAAAGGGAACCGTTCTCGGAATGCATGTACTTTCCTGCTCTTCACAGTTAGAAATTTATAGGGGAATGGAACAAGTGATTGTGGCACCATTTCATACTCTAACCATCATGACGCAGCACAAAAAACGGAAAAGCAATGAAAGATTAAAGGAGGAAACCCAGTAATAATTGGTAGAAATCCATGGCGCAGAGGGGCGGGTAAATGTTTGGGAAGAACTGGCAGGTAAGACACGATACGAAAAGAAAGATATTCTATTGCAGACTCTGGAAACAGAAGAGGAAGCCAAACCACCAATACATCTGAGGCTGCTCTTACCAATCCAAAGTCATGCCAAGCGGCAAAGAAAAAATGAATGGTGAAGGCAGGATTTATTTTCTTTTTGGCTGGCAGCACCAGGCATATTGACTCAGTAGCCCCGAGCCCCCGAAAGTTGTGGATGTATGCAAACACACTTTTTTTTTTGACTGGGGCTCGAAGTGGTTGTTCAACATTTGTAAACATTGTGGAATTGTTACATCAGGTGTCCGTTGCTGTAGTTGATTCCCTCTCTCTCTCTCTCTCTCTCTCTCTCTCTCTCTCTCTCTCTCTCTCTCTCTCTCTCTCTCTCTCTCTCTCTCTC